ACTCCACAGTCCACTCATCCTTTTCAGATACAAAAATAACACATTGTTTTATCTATGAGCATAAGAATCCTTTTTCAAGGGAAATAAAAGGAGCAGACAGTTTCCTTCCTGGCTAATTCATGAACCTCTTTAAATCTGTTAAACATAGCCACAGACACAACTCATTTGCTTGGTTTCATTTCCTAAACTCAACCTGACAAGATAGGTCAGTGTGAAGGGTCTATATGCATATACTGGGAAATGAAGTCGAAAGCTAGGGGACGTTTCCTGGCCACCAGAGTGAGAGCCACCAGAGAGAGCAAGGATCTAATTTCAGTGATAAAATTATTAACCAGGTCCTGCGCTGAACAGTTTGGAAGAGCATCTAAGGATCCAGTTTTTATTCAGTGAGCCTCAAGTACATCCATCCGAGATGGTGCATCTAACTAAAAAGATCCACATAATATCCACTTTAAAAAAATCTCCTTATCCCAAACTATATATGGAGCTGAAACCTGCCTCCTTGAAATTTCGCCACCATCTCCCTTCCTTGGTTCTGGCTATATTTTCTGGTGTGTCAGAGGAGTGAAACATCTCCTCAGTCTGATGCTTCTCAAATATTTGAGGAAAACAATAATATCACTGCTTAGTTTTTAGACTAAACATCCTCATTTCCTTGCGCTACTTTATCATTACCCTATTCGGATATGGCTCCATTTATTTGTAAATGGGTACAGTATTTCAGGTGGTTTGATGATTGCAGATCAGGGAATCTGTTTTCTCAGCCAACCCCAGTTTTTAAGCAGAGAGGTCGGGTTCAGCTGTCACTGCGAGAGCAGGGGGAGAAAAAAATTACAAAAGAGAGCCAGGAAGAAGGCAGAACAACTATAAAAAGCAGACACAAGAACGCAAAAAGCATGGCAGTTGAGGACAATAATGAGTAAAAACAAAGAGCCATAAGCATGAAGTGCCCACAGCCACCTTGCAAGGCTCTATCATTTCCCCAGGTGCTATTGGAGACTCATGCCACCCGAGGGAAAAGAGGTCATGAATCAAAAGTACCAGTTCCTCAGAAAACCCAGTGAGCTAGACAAGAGGAAATATTTAAAATACCTCAACTTTGTTGTTGCCAAGGGAGATATCAACGTAGAAGGCTCACAGTTGTCTCATAGCTCACTGCCCCATTTGCCTTGCCAACCCAACAACCTCTGAGGCTTCCTTTAGACCTTGGTTCACTCCCCATGGCCTTTCTTGTCTCTCTGAACCCCCTGAGCTCTTATTAGCAGCACTGTATGGTCTGCTTGATACAAACTAGTGTTTCTATTTTATCCTTAGGAGGAGCTCAAAATTCCTCTTTTTTAAGATTTGTTTATTTAGTAGAAAGGGGAGGGGGGGAAGGGGCAGAGGCAGAGAATATCCAAGCAGACTCCTGCTGAGCATGGAGCCTAACACAGGGCTCGATCCCATGAGCCATGAGATCAGGACCTGAGCTGAAACCAAGAGTTGGACGCTCAACTGACTGAGCCACCCAGGTGCCCTTAGAAGCTCAAAATTCTTATTGGTCTCGTTCTGATTGTTTCCTGTGCACCTTAATCTGCTTCCAACCAGGTTTTGAAAGCACACTGAGGTGAGGGATCATGGTTATACTTCCACGTGCTGCACAGTCCTGGGCACATAACTAAGTTGTTGAGTTAATAACTAATTGAATTTGGCTTATCTCTCTTGCCCTAAACAATCTATTGACGTGTGTCTTTTTTCAGACATTCAGTGGTGGTTTTCTAAGTAGATCAATCCAGCAAACACATTTATCGAATGCTCAGGGAAAGAGGAGTGAAGAGTAAGCTGTGGTAAGCGTTGCGTTAAAGGTTCGCGTTAAAGGTTCACGGCAAGTACTCTGGGAGCACAGAGGCGAAAGTGATGGTAAGGCAGGAGGTCCTTTCCTCTACACCCGAAGCAAGTCAAAGTGAGTTGTCAGGATAAATAGGGTTGTCTGGGGGAGAAGGATATGGGAGGAGGGAAGGCTGTGGAGACCAAAGGAAGGCACTGTGTACAGGCAGAGGATGAGGAGGAGCAGTCGCACAGCTGGGGAGCTCAGGGATGAAGGGAGGGGTAAGCCACAAGCCTGCAGAAGGAGCCCAGGGAGGACCTTGTGTGCCTGGATGAGGATGAGAGCCTATCCAGAACCACTGCAAATTCAAAGCAGGGAAGTAACATGTCTTAAGATTAGTCATCTAGAAAGAGCACTCTAGAATTGGAAGACGATGGAAGGAGAGAGAAGTAGGTGGGCTCTTTGGGAGGCTGAGAGATGATGTCAGGAGATGACAGGGTTAGGACGTCTGTAGAGGCAGCCGACATGGCAACTCAAGTGAGAATGGTCTCCCCTTTTCTCAGAAGCAAGTGACACAGGCTGATGGAAACGTGTAGAAAGGATCAGTGGCAGCCATATTCTTAATGCTGTCTGACTTCAGAAAAGCACTTAGTGGGAAAAGGAATCACTGTAGGAAATTAGAACCAGGTAGAGAGAAAACCAAATAACAGGATAACTGAAAAAGTCTAAGAACTGAATTTTATACTAAGGCCTCAAGGACAAGTTCCTACGGCACCTCAGGGATTGGGACGAATGGAGGAAGGGTGGACCCTCCACAGGTTACAGGACATGGACTGCAGCCAGCCTTCCTGCTGACTTCGTTGTATGACTTTGGGCAAATAATTTAAGCTTTCTGGAGTGTCTGTTTTCCCATCTGTAGACTAAAGATAATACTAGTTACTTCTTTGGATTCTTAAGTTCATGGGATTAGGTATACCAGGTGTCTAGCAGTGTCTGCACGGAAAGGTACTAAATAAACAGTCTCCTGCTAAGTGCGGGGCACAGCTAAGGGATACAAAAATAGGTCAGACACAGTTCTGTCTCAAAACGTTTACAATTCAGTCAGGAAGAGAGGGATATCAATCCCCAAATAATAATAAAAAGCAGGATAAAATAAGTACAGACTAAAGATCCAAGAACCATGGTGTGGGAGGGCAGGGAAGAGAATGAGCATCTGAGTCAGCTGTTCATCCTGGAGGACACTGCTAAATTGGCCATAGGGACAAAGGAGGGTTAGCGGTGAGTCAGGCTCTCTGATGGCCAGCGTGTTGGCTCCAGTCCAGCCTGGGAGTCTCCCCAGTGCCACTGCTCTGCCCGTGGACAGCAAACACATCACAGCAGGAGGGACTATTCCCAGGGGGTAGACTTGTGGCCAATAGAAGGGTGGTGGTCCTGACTGCAGACAGAAGAAACTCACAGATGTCGTGAAGCAGGATGGCTTCTGGGAACCCCAGATCAGCCTGGCAGAAAAGGTGAAGGGAAAGGAAATAAAGTCTTTGTGGAGAGCTGCAAACTTGCAGAAATATCCCTGCTTCAGGCAAGGGCTTCTCCCAAGCCATCAGCTGCCTAGCCACTGGGTCAGACACGGCTGCATATTCCCTGATAGAGAAGAGTGGGGATGGTGGGGATGAACCACAAGGAAGGCAGGTATGGGAAGCTGGAGTGGGTCTGAAGAGCGCAGCTCTCATTTACGTTTGCCATTACCTGGCTGTCGGGTTTAGATCAGTCCTCTCATTCCTGTATGGGGCTTCCTAACTGCTCTGTGCGTCTTTTGGGGTTGTTGTCAGGACATGGGGGAAAATGCCTTCTGGATTGAGCATCTGGGACCTCCTTGCCCCTTTCTCAGATCTGCAGCCCTCCCTGGCCTGATGGAGTGACTCCCTGAGGGCCACATCTGGAGTCCTTGTTAAAAGGTAAACGAACCATCCTTTGAAGAAAGAGGTGTTAAAGAGAGACGTGCACGTAATTTTCTCCATGGCTAATTGTTTTGTCCGTGCGTAAGCAGACCAGTTGAAAGAATCCTTGGAGATGAGGACTATTTGGGAGAGAAACAGGATCATCACTATAAGTACTGGGGGAATGCTACCCTCAACTTTTTCCGAAAGTATACATCTGTGGAAGCATAGTTTCTAGATTTTTCAGGAGGCTCTCTAAAATCATCTCCTCGGCAAAGAATGGGGATGATGCTCTGTTTTAAAGGAGTCTGGATTCCCAGAGTTAGACTCTGAGCAGTGCAAGTTTCCAGAGCGGAAGACCTGATGTATAAGCAATTGCCCCGCCAGCAATACTTGCGCCTCCTGTTGTCTGGGGAGCCCCTGGAAACAGGCTACGGAACAAATTGCGTCTTTTCATGTAAGACCTCAAAATGCCATAGATATTTACATCTCAAGAGGTGCCAATGTGATATTTTATGATACTGTAAATGTTATGTTTTGGATGATTCCTGGCATCAGAGGACTGAAATTGAGGTCTGAGCTACTTCCCAAATGGGAGCCACATGGCCACAGTCCTGGCTCGGATTAGACCGCTTTGGATTTTGCTGCTCAACAAACTGTCTGAGGTCTATAAAGAGGAAGCACTTGGAATAGTTTTCTCAAATGTGGTCTGTTTTTTGTGTGTGGCTTCTCCCGGATAATATTTTGCAGACTGCTCTGTGTTAAAACAAAAACAAAAACAAAAAAACAAAAAACCCCCCAAAAGCCTAGCTTGTGAAAACATTCAGGAGAGCAGCATATGTCTAACTCGTGGGAACTGGAAAAGGAAAAAGAACGAACGAGTTTCCACCGTGTGGGTGTTTCCCTCTCTCTACACCCCTCTGCCTTCTTGGATTTCTTTGTCACAAGCGGGGCCACTGCGGTCATTCTCTGCGGGTCAGTGGCGTACCCCTCTTCCAGGAACTACTTCCCTGCAGAGATGGGGTTCAGATGGTGGCTCTGGGGCAGGGGGGTGGGTGGCCCACCAGCGTCTTCCCCTTGGGCCTCGCCAGGGCCACCCCCCCCCCACGCGCCCTCCCTCACCCAGAGCCCCAGGGGGAGGGGCAAGGAGGTCAGAGAAAGGAACAGGCTGGAGGCAGCGGGAGACCGGGAGGTGGAAAGTTAAACAGGGAAATAGACGTCTGATCTGTTTCTTGTTGCTTTCTGGCGCAGCTGTTTACCTTGAACAGTGAGGTACGCCGAACTTTCCACGGACCCCTTCTGGTTGGTGGCTTTGCAGTGATAGACACCTTCATCCTCTTCTGTGACTCTTTCAATAAACAGCGTGCTGCTTCCTGGTCCTAAAATAATTCCTGCGGGGTGAGAGATGTTTACATTAGTGGGCCTGGGTGACACACAGAAACAGCTGCTTCTGTAATCCAACCCTCTTCCTATAATTATGCGTTCAGACGAGGAAATCCGAGCTCTAGGTAACCTTGGGCTGGGCTGCTCATTTGTTTTCTCTCGGTCCGCGCCGCAGAGCTCGGAGCCCAGCTCTGGAGATGCGGATCGGACCCAGGCCGTTCGCTGCGTGGCGGGCAATGAGATGGGGCTGCCGTACCCAGCTTTCAGCAGCAAATGTCAAGGCGGCAGCATGCCCAATAAGAACACTTACCGTTGATTGGCGCCTGCTGTGTGCGAGCACTACACGACACACTTTCCATCTTGACGTTGACAACCGCCCCGCAAGGTCTCACGGTCTCCCGTTTTACAGACGTGGAAGCAGATCCGGTGAGGTTAAGTAACTTGACCAAGAGCACACAGCTGGACTGAAACACATCTGTGGCCCCGGGGCCAAAGGAAGTCCTGCTTCATTGGTCGGAGAGGTGAAGAGCTGGGGCTGTGTTTTAGTCCAGGTCTTAGCCCTTCCAGCTTTGTCACTCTAGGCAAGCTACTTAAGCTTTCTGTGTTTCAGTTTCTTCAACCTTAAGCTGAAAATGCAAGCAGTTCCTACCAGGTGCACAGGAGCATGAACGGCTGGCGCAGGACACACAGTAAGTGCTCCGTCAGTCCGAGCTGAAGTGTTACTAGCGAGCATCCCGTAATGGAAGGAGCACCGTGAATTTTCAGAGCCCCAGCTTGAAGGCCCAGTAGCCTCAACACCAAGGACTACCAGCAAGTATTTATTGAGTACTTACTCTGCTATTAGTCTATGTTAAAGATTTGGAGGGAGGAGGAACGCTAAGACACGGTATCTGCTGAGGAGGGAAAATGAACTCCTCCCAAACACACATATATACATATTCTCTCTCTCTCTCTCTCTGTTTCACACATACAAGCCAGCAAACAGAAAGTGTTTCATGAATGAGTGAATAGCATGGCATACCCAGTTAAATGCAAAGCTGGTGTGGGATGGAGATCCATAAGTATAGGAATAACCTCAGGAAGGCCTCATGGAGGAGGTGGGCCTTGAGCTGAGGTTTCAAGGATTATCAGAGGTGCAGGAAGAAGGGCAGGCAAGAAGACAGCCATGCCACTGACATGAATGTGCATCGAATGCTTGTTCTGGAATAGTGATAAAATGGGCCTGGCCAGACTACAGGCTATTTTGTTTAAATAGTTTGTATTCCCCCTGATTATAAAAGACCCTCAAAAGAGAAAATTTGAGAAATATTGGAAAGCATGAAGAAAATGTAAAACAAACCTACAGTCTTTACTTCTAGATATTTTCCTTTTATTCTTTTTAAAGTGGACTTTTAACACAATTTGTTCATTCATACGAAATTTTTGAGCTCCTACCATGCATGTATTAGCCACTATTCTAGATGTGGTGATATGATAGTAAGTAAGACAAATGAATCCTTGCCTACAGAGGGCTTAAATTCTAGTTTTGGAGAATTACAAGTAAGTAATTTCAAGGAACAAAGTCTGTGAAGAAACTAAACCCGATTAAGGGGAACATGGAGGGTGCTTAGATCACGGAGGGTGCTTAGAGAAGGCTTTTTGAAGAGGTGACATCTGAGCAGAGACCTGAAAGATGGGGAAGAATGAACTGTTTGAAGATCTGAAAAGGGCATTTGAGACATAGGAAATAGCAACTATAAAGTCCCTGGGGCAGGAATGAGCTTGTTTAAGGGACAGTGAAAAGACCACTATAGACTTTAGTTAGCAAGCAGGAGAGAGGAAAGTTGGCTGGGTTCAGTCATGTATGACCACAGGCCACGGTAAGGATTTAGGGTTTTATTCTAAGCACCGAAGAAAGCCACTGGAGGATTATATCTAATTGCTCATAACTATAAATAACAGTATAATGAACATCTTTAGACATAAGGGTTTTTCTGTATTTCGGATTACTTCCTTAGGATAGATTTCCAGAAGCAGATTTATTAAGTCAGAAGCTCTTGATTCTTACAACCACACTGCCTTCCAAAAAGATTATATGCACGAACATGTCTACCAGCAAGGCTAAAAGTCTGTTTTATGACTCTTGTCAGTACTGAGCAGGATCATCTCAAAAATACAAAACACAAACCTTTGCTGATTTGATGGATGGATTTGTTAGCCATTTTTATTTTCAAAGCACCCGTTTTGAGTGGTTGACTAGAAAAGGTGAGTTCAGATTAAGGAGAGGTTTGAAATCCTGGCCAAGGAGTTTCCATTCAGTGTAGAAGGAAAGAGGGGCTCACAAAAATTTTTGAGCAGGGAAATGACATAATGAAAGCAATGTTTAAGGAAGTTTAGTCTAGCATGAGAATGCAGGGTAGACTGGAACGAGGGAAAAGTGGCATCTGGAAGTCCAGCTCACCAGCTGTAATTCAGGCAAGGAATGCTGAGGATCCAAATCTGGATGGTGGGAAAGGAAGTAGAGAGGAGGAAAGGCATATGGACACTTTGTAGAAACAACCTATAGGAATTGCTGCCTTACTGATGCAGGAATGGACAGAGACAAATGCAAGGTGATTCTGATATTCTAAGTCCAGGTAACAGGGTGAAACATGAGACTCTCCCCTGTAACCTTGGCTAAATCATTTAATGTCTTTGGGTCTGTTTCCCCATTTGTAAAATGAGAATAGTACCCGCTTTGCCTATTTTATGGGATTGCTATGAGGATCAATTGAGATAATTTCAATGAAAGCTCTGGAAAGCACACGATATGGCATACGTGTCAAATGCAGAAAGTAAAAGCATGGCTAGAGATTGGGTGGTCAAGGGCAATGAACGTTCATAGTAGCGGCTATCCTGCTACTCACCATCATCTTCATTGCAGTAGACCTGACCCTCAACCAACTTTCTATCACTCAAATCCTGGTTTAAGGCTGACACAATGAACAAATGAAGCCCAAGGCCTTGGATTTCACCCAAGGAGATGGGGCTGTAGTTGTGAAGGTGAGCAGATCATGCCAAGGATGCCGTGAGCTAACGTCACCTGACTGTTTCCTCTTTCCGTCACATGGAGGAGGAGACGGGGTGAGAGGGTGTCCCAAGCCAAGCAGCAACACTCTTCTTCCAGACTTGCCGTCACACTACACTCTGACCAGCGCTCAGAGGTTGATGTGTCACCACCAGGAGGACACTCAGAATCCTCATCGGGCACTTGCTCATTGTCTGCTCTCACTATTTGCCTTCTCTCAGACATAGGCCAGTTACTACCTTTATTATCCGCCCCCCCCTCCCAGCCCTCAGATCTGCCCATACTTATTCGTAGTTGTGTGCTCTCGTTTCTTTTTAATGCCTTAGCTTGTTGCTACTCACTTCACATGACCCGGCCCCCTATGATACAGATGCTGTT